CCGGCGTAAAAAATGGCCTTGGGGGCGAGTCGGTCCCCAGCCGTCGGCCCCCAGGGCCGCCCCCAGGCGCGTATTAAAAAACAAAAAAAAGAACGTTCGGCGAAGTTATGATAAAAACTAGTTAAATTTCGGCCAAACATGGTAAATTTCGGCGAAATTCGTCCAAACATTACATTAACCTAATCTAAAAAAAAGAAAGGGGGAAGTCGTCGCCGCCATCGTCGTCGTCGGCCTTCTCCTCCTTGACGCGGGCGCCACTGCTGGAGCCCTGCCCGGCGTCGCCATGGCGAACAGGCGGCGGCGCGTCGTCGTCGTCGCTGCTGTCGCATAAGACGACGACCCCGCCTTCCTCGCGGCCGCGTCGGCACTCCTCGAAGCGGCGTAGAGCGGCGCGCTGGCGCTCCTTCTCCTTCTCGCGGCGCGCCTTCTCCATCGCAGTGGAGTCCTGGCGCGCCCATTCGAGGGCGGCGTCGCCGTCGTCGGCGAACTCGGCCTTCACCGGCGCCAGCCCCGGCTCCGTCTTCACCGGCGCCAGACCCGGCTCCGTCTGCGGCTTGACGAAGCGCGGAGGAGCCGACGAGGGGGCGCACCGGCCGCCCTCGTTGATGACGATGCCGGCACTGCGAGTGCGCCGACCGAGCGGCGTCTCCGCCGCGGGCTCGGCCTTGACGCCGAGCAGCGCCGGAGAGCCGGAGGAGTGTGAAGAAGAACAGGATGACGAGGAGGAAGAAGAGGAGGCGTCGAACCTTCTTGGAGCCCATGGCCCGGCACGTCGGTGCTGCGCCGGGGCGGCCACCCTCGCCGGGGGGTACGCCAATGGCGGGTCGTTACCGCCCTCAAGGTACGTGAGCACGCCTCGAGTGTGCAGCCGGGGACACCCCACCAGAGGTAGCATCCCTCGTTGTTCTCCCGGCTGCCGACCACCGGCGCGCCGTTGGTGGACGCCAAGCGCTGCTGTTGGCGGCGCTCGAAATACGCCGCCTAGGCCGCGTGGTTGTCGGCGGCGTACTGGGGGAGGGAGAGCTCGACGTCGGTGAGGGACGCGCGCATGATCTCGACCTCCTTGGCGAAGTACCTCGGGTCCGCCGCGGCGTCGGGCAACGGGGGAATGGGCACTCCCCCGGCGCTGAGTCTCCACCCCGTCGGCCCGGCGCGCATGTCCGGCGGCGCCGGGATGTTCGCCTGGAACAGGAGCCACGACTCCTGTTTGCGCAGCGAACGGCCGCCGAAGCCGTTGGCCGCCGCCGTATCTCCGGGGAAGCGCTCTACCATGGCGAAGGCGGGGCTGGGCGGGCTCGGAAGAGGTAGAGGGAGGGGCTGGGCGGCGGCGCTCGGGAAGAGGTAGGGAGAGGAAGGGCTGGACGGCGGCGAGGGGCGAGGCTGGTGTGGGCGCAGGTGAGCGGAGCCGCCGGCTTTTATAGCCGGGCCGCGCCCGTGTGTACGCGTGCGAGGGAGTGGAGGCGTCGGCGCGCTGTCCCGTGAACGCGCCGCCCGTGAGGAATCAATGGCAAGGCTGACCGGCGGCAGCCTTGCCATTGATTCTCCGCGGGAACCGAGGCTGTTGGGGGAAGACGAGGCGCCGAGTCGCTGACGCGGCTGGCCCGCGTCTTTTTCGTGCCAAAACAGCTCGCCCCGGCGCCCCCGGGCGCCCCCCAGCGCGCCGGGTTCGGCCTGGGTCCGCCGGCGCTGTTTTCGGCCCAAGCCGGCGAAAATAGGGCTCCTGGGGGTGCAACTGGGCCGTTTTTTCGGCGCCGGCGCGAAAAAATCGCCTGGGGAGGCCTTCCTGGGGCCGCGGCTGGAGATGCCATTATGGTTCTTCATGTTGTTTTCTATTCTATGTTCTTCATGTGTTTTCCAACTATTGTTTTTTCTTGATGAAACCTATACTATATAGAATGCTGCAGTAAGAGTACCTACAGCCAGGTTTCCCAAACTGGTCGAGCGGATTACTTGGTTAGTGTCTGGTCAAATAAATGTTCGGGCTGACCGGCACTCCTCAAACACAGCTCAAATCTGAGCCTGGTATAGGGAGGCTCAGACGCTTCTGGGCGCGTTTGCCACGTCGGACTGGCCTACCCTGGCCCCACATATAACCCCAATCCGGACGAACCCTAGACTGAAGTCAACACACTCCACTCCACTCCCTCCCTTCCTCTCTCCCTCTCTCCCTCTCTCTCTCTCTCTTCGAGTCCTCCCCCCTCTGATCTATATATAGTGAGCGACAACAGTAGTGCCACGTCCGATAACGGATCTGGCAGCGACTCCGACTAGGAGTCATAGTGCGTGAAGCGGAGCCGGATGACATGGAGGAGATCGCCCTCTAGCGATGTGCCGATCGCGACTAGGCCGGGGCAGCAGCGAAAGCTCGGGTTCCGTCCCGTCCCCCGTCGTCGGCGATGCAGTGCGTGCGACGTCATCGGCCACTCTCGTCCTCTGCACAGCTTCAGGCGCTCGACGCTCCTCTAGGTAGGCCGTCCCCCCTCTTCGTCTGCTCTACCAGCTACGGAGGGTGTCCCCGGCCACCGTTGGGTCTCCCGTGCCCGTGTCGGCGTCCGCCCAATTCTAAGGCGAGGTGCAGCGGGCGAGGGACAGGGTTGCGGCAGGGAAGGCGCTTGCTGCGCGCCGGTGGATCTAGAGGACCCGATCCTCGCGATGGTCCTCTGGCCCTCCCTCAAGACGGTGGAGACAATGCGTGGTGTCGCGCTTCAACTCGCCATCAAGCAGTCAAAGGGCTACGGGGCGGCTACCAAGGTGAAGACAGCTCGGCTGGCCAAGGCGTAGGACCGTGCGGTTCGAAGGATGATTGGCAACATCTCCTCCGAAGACGATCGCACAGTTGGTTGTCTGCATCCTAACTATAAAAGTGTGTATTCTTTTTGTTTGTATCCTCTTGATGATAAAATCCACTATTTGTGGGTCTTATTTACCGATTAGCAAGAG